TGCCCTTCTCGCCGGTCTCCCCAGCTCCACAAAATCCAGTTTTTCCAAAACTCCGCCGCCCATATATACACCCGCACTAAACTCCGTACCCCATCACACCAGTTACCCCAGGCTCCCCTGACTCCCTGTCACTGAACGGATCGATTTCAAGATTCTCACACTCATCTTCTAATTCTTTCATGCCCTCGCACCTCCCACTCTCTCCAACCAGCTTACTTCCCAACCCACTACCCACTGCCTCCACTCGACTGGCTCCGGCCTCCAGCTTGTCCCTCATGCCCTCCGTTACACAATTGGTGGCTGCACTTTCAGCCACTATGCCCCAAAACTCTGGAACACTCTTCCTCTATCCCTTGCCCCCTCCTTCCCCATCTTTAGGTCATACCTGAAGACCTTCCTCTTTGACCATGCCTACAGTCAACTCCCCCCGCTCCCCAAATCTGCATTGTACTCCGCCACTGACAAGTGCTCTTGACACTACCCATGTCAAGGGTACTATACAAATGTAAGTTCTTTGTTATTTATGGGACATTGCTGTATACAAATTAGCTGCTGACTTTGGCTAAAATTACAGTCACTACACTTTACAATAAAATCTTGTGAAGCGTTTTGCGAGATCTCAATGACTTGATAAGGACTAGTTTCAACCAAAACTACTGCATTTTGATTAACACAGACCAGGAATCAAACCTGCAACCGTTTGGTCTCTATAACCTAATGCTACTCACTTAGGTAATTCCTTAACCCACTATGTCACAGTTCTTTCCTGAGAATAAATGATTGACTGTACGATCTCAGCTGCAATATATTGCTCTTCCTGTAGCTCTCCCTTTCTGCTTTCCCACAGTATCTATGTGGATCTCTGACAATCAGAAGTGTCTCAATCCTGGAGTGGTCTAAAGCCATGTTTCTATACCCGGCTTTGATCAAACTTTTTCAAAACGTCGATCATAATTGGTGGTATAAACCTATCGAAAATGTGAAAATGCCCTTGAATTGCTGTAAAAGTGGTGCTAATGAAACCATCAACAAGTAATAGGGTTGTTCACCTAATTGGTTTATTTTTTTCTAAAACAACTTCTGTTACTAGAATATAAGTTGCTTATTGCATTCAAGGCACAAAGAGGCTGTACCCAGACACATTGTTTAACACTTTACTTCAACAAACTGAATTGATTAGGGTTTTTTTTGTGGAGTAAATAGGTTAACAACAAATCCACGTGAGCCAATCAGACAGGATGAAGAGTGGAATGGGAGGAGATCAGAGAGATAGGGAGAGGCAAGAGCATGAAGGCATTTATAGGTGAGGTGAGATCTTATAATAATAATTAAAAGTTAGTGCTGTATTTTTTTCTGATCAACCGTGTGTCTGACACATACACAAACATATCACCATGCATAATAGTATCCAAACCAAACTGAGAGTTCATGGAAATTCCAGAGACATTTATTGGATTGGAATGCACACTCTCTACCTGAAGGGACGCATCCTGCTTACATTATTCCACAAAGCATTAGGCACAAGTTAGCAAGAGTCAAGGTCTGGGGACCCCAGAGTGTGTGTTGGGGCACTACAGAAGTCTCAAGCAATGTATGTATGTACCAGCTTAGACTATGTGATTCTGAGTCCTAATGTGGGGTTGAACCCACAACCTTCTGACTCAGAAGTGAGAGTGCTACCACTGCACCAGGCTGACAACAGGGAGAAGGACTCAGAGGCACATGTGGTCTTCAAACTGTGCAGACCAGATGCAGATATTTCTAAGTAACATTTTACAAACTCACCATTCACATTTTAACTCACAGATTAACCTGTCCTGCAACAATCCTCATCATAATTGAATACTTCCAGCTCAGGTGCCAATTCAGTATTTTAAGTGCTTTGAGAGGTCCTACCAACATGCTGAAAGATGCTGTGTAAATGTAAACAACAACAACAACTTGGATTTATATAGCGTCCTCCACGCTGGACGGCGTCTCAGAGAGCTTTATAGTTTTGGATCCCGGGACCGAGCCAGGGAGAGGGTGGGGGAAGGTGACCAAAGGCGCGGTCGAAAAGAAAGTAAGTGGTATTGTAAATAAAACTTCACTTATTTTATATGAGTAATAAACCATATTGCTGCTACATTTACACAGCAGTGGGAAACAGTGGCTTATCCAATTTATTTTTCATGTGATTCCAGCCTGTATAGCCCAATGCACAAGCAGGCTCACAGACTGTGCAGTTAATTATAATCCTTGCATTTGATATAGGACCTTATTACATCTTCTAAATGTTTCAAAGCGCTTCACAGAATATACTGTAAAGTGTAGTGACAGAATGTTTTGTGGATGATTGCAAAATTGTGTTCAATTCCTGTCCCAAGTTAGCTGATCTCAGCTAGAGTAGCAGTTGGGGTGCTTTAATTGACCCAACTTTATTGAGAAGGAAATGTTGGCCAGGATCCCAATCCTAGGGATACTCCTGAGAAGCTACAACAACAACTTGCATTTAAATAGCGCCCCTCACACAGGGTAGTATCCCAGACTGCTTGACAGTAATAGAGCCCAACGCTGAGCCGAGGGGAGGGAGAGATGACCCTAGGTATGGTCGAAGAGGAAGGTCTTCAGGCATGACCTGAAGCTGGGGAAGGCTGAGGGATATGGAGGGATAGAAGAGTGTTCCAGAGTTTTGGACCATAGTGGCTGAAAGTGCAGCCACCGATAATGATCTGGAGGGCACGACGGACATGCAGAGGCCGGAGCCAGTCAAGTGGCATGAAGAGATTTTAAAACGTGTGTGAGGATCTTGAAATCGATCCATTTGGCGATAGGAAGCCAGTGCAGCCTGGCTAGAACTGGTGTATGGAGGTATGGAGTGTAGTGCGAGTGAGTATGTTGGTGGCTCATCAGTTATGTGTGGGAGGACATCTAGTTCCAACAAGATTGGCTTGCCTGTGAAGCCTGCCCTACATTGTTAAAAATAATATCCTGGCATTCACTGCTTGCACATAAATAATGGGCTTTTGGATGGGATGCAGGAGACCTTCTGGCGACTGTGCTCCAGCAAAGGGGTGGTTCCTTAAGGAGAAGTGGGCAGTGGGGAGAAAATTGCCAAAGAAAAGAAAACAAGCAAGATTAGAAGTACGTAAAAAAGAAATATAATGTGTTTTGAGTTCAACCTTTTATCAGAACTGGATAGGACTGGAGGTGACTGGATAGCAAATTAACAGACTCTCCTTTCACCTCCGAAACCTTGGTTTCGATTCCCTGCATCGATGGAATAAAAAAAGGTCATTGAAAAAGGCTCCAGTGAGGGAGGCAGTAATTGCCAAGGCAAACAGAAGGTTAGGGTAGGCAATGGAGGCGTATAATAGTAACTCTGTAAAGAATGAGCAAAGCTTGCATTAGGCACCTATTAGAACCATGGTTGTATGTTCTGTATTTGGGAGCAAATTAAAGCAGCCAACCCACACACGCAAGAAGGACACACTTCCGCAAACATAGAATTAGGAGACCTGTAGCTTAGCGGTTAGAGCACTCGCCTCACAAGCGAGAGGACCTGGGTTTGATTCCTGGCAGGGCGAAACGTTGGACAAGTTGCCTTACTCCACACAATTCTGTTTACATACCAGTAAGTAGGAATCTGGTTGTTAGCCAATTGGCGGATCGCTTTTCTGGGGGTAATAATTCCTTAAAAAAAATTAAAAAGCAATAATTTGGTTACTAAATCAAAGACTGGTTGTGGGACACTGCTGTGCGCAATTGGCTGCCGCATTTCACTAACTAAATATACAGTCAATTCACTTTACAGTATATTCTGTGATGGGCTTTGAGACGTCTCGAAGACATGATAAGGCGCTATATCAAATGCAAGGATTATTATTATAACCTGTCCTATATCAATCTGTCCGCTCCCTCCGCTCAGCAGGCTGCTGCCTGCTCCATGTCCCCTGCCCAGCCCACCATTGGTGGTCTGGCCTTCAGCTTTTCTGCCCTCACCTTTTGGAATTCCATCCCACATTCCCTTCACCTCTCTCCCTCCCTTGCCTCCTTCAAAGCACGTCTCAAGACACTCCTCTTTGACCACGCCTTTGGCCACCCTCCTACCATCCCTGCCCTCCATCCACTCTGATCCCAATCCCCCAGCTCAGATCCATGATTGTCCAACGCCTTGGGATGTTCTCCCAATGTGAAAAGCACTATATAAATGTAATTTTGCATTACATTGTATATTATAATTACTTGATGGGCCATATAGAACAGCCAGTCAGGTTTAATTCCTGCGCTGAGTTAGCTGCACACATACTGTATTTATTGCATGATGTCTTTACCTGCTAGGGCAACATGGTTATTTTATTTATTCTCACCTGCGACCAGCATATATACCTACATTGGTGAAAACCCCAGCAATTCACAAAGCAGAAAGTTTTGCATTAACAATTACTTAATGATTGTAATGGAATTGCAGGAATCACAGGCTCTTGGGGGGAGGGTCCAAATGTGTAATAAAGTTTGTTCAATATTCCATTGTTTATTTCACTCAGTCGCTCAACTTCCCAGATCGCAAATTGCCGCATTTTCAACCACATTGTTGCCTTCTCCGATGACCCATTTCTCAGCAACACTGCAGCAAAGTGAGTACAAGGAAAAGTGTTGTTGATGGTCATTGGGGTGGCAATAGTGGAAGGAGGAAACGGTCAACAAAGTTTGACTGCACGTTTTACGTCTTTATTCTTCCATGAAAAGAGCAAACAATTATGCTGTGTTATCAAAAATATTTATTCATAAGTTTTTCTAATACAATCTGTATTTTTGAATATGTTGCGATGTTGCTTAAATAAATATAGGCAGCTATGTTAACATTCTACAGGGAATGTAATTATTATAACCTGGGAATGATACTGGCTACATAAGACTTTTAGACGTTTGCAGAATTTATGAGATTTAATGATTTACAGGTACATTTTGATTATTATTTGAAATAACAGGTCACAAAATATCTTTTTTAAAAAAAGTTTAATACTGATGGAAAAAAATTACCATTTATTTTATTTACTTCAGAAAATGAAGTCAATATATTTAACCAGGAAATGTAAACAAAAATCAAAGTCCAAAAGATGCAATAAAGTTAATTCTTAATCCCAGGTAAAAGCTTGCGGGTTCCATCTCTCACGCTCTCTTTCTTGAAAATGACCAGTTCACATCTGTTACCATTTGTACACAAAAATTCAAAAGTCTCTTATTCATCAAGAGAACATGTGAAAATCACCTCCGATATTTTGCAAAGTTATATAACAAACCAGTTGCTCACAAGGTTCGTGCCAGCATTTGATGTTTAAAGTATTAGGTTAAGCCCATGAATGTATTGTAGAAATTGACAAGTTTTCACATAGAAGTAGAAGGGAGGAGGCAGGATAAAAAAAAACTTCCTCTTGGTGAACAGTGTAAAAAAATGTCATGAATACTGATCCCTATCTGTCCAGTAAAAGTGTACTGCTTGGTCACCAATTGGTTGCAGTAAATCTACCGAGCGTGCAGTTTTGACTTTCTGTCCTTTTTCTATGTAAATCGCTGGTGATTTTTCTAATGACTATACTAATAGTGGTACGCATTATTCATCAGCAATGTTCATTGCTGAGTTCATAATTCCATATAGAAAAGTAGAGTCTATTGTATATTTCTTTAACAAAGTTACAAATTGGGGATAAGTTGGCAACGAGGCTTTATCCCTTTCGGGACTGCTCACCTCCAGTCATCCTCCTTCAGCAAACAGGTTGTGGTATCCCAAGCCATGGGCACCTCTGCAGCCAATACCACAAAGTATTCTATGTGAGCCGTGCAGGAGGCATACTAGCAGCAGGGTGAGAGATCATTTTATTTTTTCCTCTCTCCGCCCATCCCCCTCCCTCCCCCCAGGTGGAATGCTACTCTCTTATGAAGCACTCCTCTGCTGAGCCAATGTCCGACAAGCCTCATATCAATTGTGGCATTCAGAGTCAAGTGGCAGGTAACCCTGAGCCCATAACCAACTGGTTTGAAAAGGCAGCAATTTATGTAGCAGGCTATTCCATCCCCTGTATAAAAAAATCTTTATAAAATAAAATGTCCAAAACGTACTGAGGCACAGGTACATTTCCAGTTCCAGTTAGTGCTTGACCTGACAGTACTTTTATTTTTGTGGAAACTGGGAGTTTTCTTGATGCTGCGGATTAAAGACATCTCAGATACAAAAAAAAATCAAGATTGGTATCACTTCACATTTTCATTCACATATTCAATAGTCGTTCAAGGAAAGATTAATAAATGACAATAAATCTTTGGTTTTGTAAAAAAAAACATAAAATATCGCAGAATTAAAATCACTGCAGTCTGCTGCCTCACTGGAAATCACTTACACAAAAACTACAGCATCAGCCCATGTTCTGGAAAGGAAAAAACAAGTCCAGTTTAGGCATGGAAGCTTAGTTTGTGAAGCGAGTACAGCCAGACCCATTTACTTTCACCCAGTGAATATGGCTTGGTTCATTCAACAATGCATCAGCTGAGATTGTAATGAAGGGTGAGGAGTGGGTGGAGAAGTCATTTCAAGAGTCCAAATACTAAATCCACCCCACTATCCACAAGCACTGCCAGTGAGGTATTTGTGACACAATCAAGCATTTTGCCCAATGGAAAAAAGTGCAGAGCCATCAAAACAGTCATAATTGTTCCACACAGATTGGTTCTTTCAGCCTGAATTGCATGTAGAACTACTGTTCTATTTAGTTTCTTTGGCACAACAATATGAACCCTATTGCATTTCTTGAAGTCACAGCAGCAATGATCCATATCCTTTTGGTGGCATCACTTTCACTGCATGATACCACCTGATGCTGTAATGTTTTTGTGTGTGTTTATTTTAAACTGAATAATGATACCTGTAAATGTAAACGTCATACATCAATCACCATGTCGTACTGCTGCTCCTTTTTCCGCCGGCAGCATTTGGTGATAAGGACAATATATAGAGTTAACAGCATGACCCAGTAACAGGCATATAGTATTGCCCCAATAATGAGAACAGTCTGCTCAGAATCAGAAAAAGAATCTCGGGTTTCATTGTATATTGTGTACATTGCCCCTCCCAGAAGGATACTAAACCACACTGATACTGGGATCAGCCCAATGAAGTTCACCACTATAGTTTTCCTTCCCGACGTCCCCCAACCTGCTTTGTTTATCGTAGCAATGGCAAACATCTTTGCAGGAAGTAAACTCGACATGTACAGCACAGAGTAAAGAGACATGAAGACCATCACAATGTTGCCTCTCAGACAACTCGCAAAGGAAGATTTGATGAGACCCACAAACTGGACGGTCAATAGAAACAGAAGAATGTTCCAAATTCTTCCTCTGTAAAAAAGCTGAATAACGGTGGCTATGAGGAAGAAGGGGAAAAATCCAGTGATCACTGCTTCATACGTCATCCACAGATGGTGTTTATGGAACCAGAGAGAATTGTACAGCCACTCTCTGAAGTAGGATTTGCTCCAGCGGGTCTGCTGGTTTAACCACCTCAGGTATTGCGTTGGGGTTTCTGTGAGACATTTGGATCTTGCTGTATATTTTGTTGCATACCCTAGGCTCAGGACACGGTTTGTCAGATGTCTGTCATCCCCAAAGCTACATTTCGAGCCCAGAAACTCCTGATTGTACCAATCTTCGACAAATTTGTGGAGTAAGCCATTTCTGTACATGCCTAAAGGCCCACTAATGCATTGCACACAGCCAAAATAGGATTGACAGGCTCTTTCGACGTTAAAGGCCATCCAATACCTTACACTACTAAGGAACGATATCCAGGAGTCATATTTGTTGAGAATCTATTAATTGATAGAAAAGAAAAAGTTATTAGTTGATAGTGAGACAATGGCAACTTATTTAACAACTGAATTAATTTAACTTCTTGGAAACTGTAAAATAATTTGATTTTTTTATTTTGTTTACATTTAAAGAGTCACCATCTTCCTGGAAAAGTGCTCAGCAAATCTTTGTTTAAGACACATAATATGATAATAATAATAATAATAATAATAATCCTTGCATTTGATATAGAGCTTTTCACGTCGGGAGGACGTCCCAAAGCGCTTCACAGAACACACTGTAAAGTGAATTGACTGTACATTTATGGGCGAACGCGGCAGCCAATTGCGCACAGCAATGTCCCACAAACAGTCGTAGATTGAAAATGACCAATTTTATTATTGTTTTTGGTTTTTTGGAGGGATTATTATTAGGCGTGTGGAGTAAGGAAACTTGCCCAAGGTTACGCCCTGTCTGGAATTGAACTCAGGTCTCTTGCTTGCAAAGCGAGTGCTCTAACCACTGAGCTACAGGACTCCATGATAATTTAGGCCTGGCCCAGTTGGCATCATGCACACACCCGAGTGAGAAACTAATAGGTTCAAGCCCCACTTTGGGACATTTGAGCTCAAGTCTAGGCTGCCACTGTGATGCAGTGCTGAAGAAGGGACATACTGTATTGTAGGTCTCTTTGTCTTTCAGATTAAACTGAAGCCCCATCTACTTGCGGGATCCTGCAGCACTATTTGAAAAGAGAAGGGAGTTTCTCCCAGTGTCCTGACCAACAATTGATCATTCACACAAATAGTGATTATGGGACATTACTGTGCGCAAATTGGTGGTAGCTTTCATCTACAATACACAGTCACCAAACTTTACAGTAAATCCTGTGAAGTGTGTTAATACATTTCCAGAATGTAATAAGGTGCTATATTAAATGAAAGGATTATTTTTAATTTATTATAAAACATAAAAAACATATCACTCCTTGTCTACGCGATAACATCATGATAGCAATGATGTACAGCTCATCCAAAGTTCTTCACCTCCCAAACAAGAAATATGACCAAGCACCTTTTAACATTAAAAACAGGAATTCAAGAAGTGGGAAGGACCACATGGTCAAGCCACTCCTTCCAAAGGACAGAAAAATTATCCGTTAGGGTTCTTGATTGTTATACAAAGACTTCTGTTGGAAAGCTGAGTGTGATTTTGGATACAGACAAAGCTTGATCATAGAGCCAAGAGAACTTATGTCTAAAAGCATTTTTTGTTTGCCAGATTGTTTCTGGTATATCAAGTGAGCTGACATTGTTGGTGCGTAATTTGACGTTATACAGCTTGTGATGTACGCAAGGATAAGGAAAAAGAAATCAAATGCCTTGAGCAAGAGAGAGAAGGAAAAATCTAGCAAACCAAAAATGCTTTTAAACTTAAGTTCTCTGGCTCTATGCTCAAGATTTAAGTACTGCATATTGAAATCCATATCGTCTATGCCTCTTAGCATAAAGACCTTTATAATATACTATTATGTTTCATCTTCATATTTTTTCTCTGCTAATCTCGATTTATAACTTAAAAGGTCTATTTCAAATATCTGTCGCATCTAAACACATTCAAGTGAATCAATTTCCTTTTGAAGGTATGGTGGCAAGATATGGACAACATTCTGAATAGGAACATGACTAATCAGATTGAGTGATCTGTAAATCTTAAGAGTTATCTTTTGTAAGGTTCTCAATATGAGTTGTTTTGCCAGTTTTCTGCCCTTTTTTTCTGAAAATGCCAACCCTTGCTGTATGATACTTCCAGAGGAGCTAGCATCCCTCTTAATACCCCATGTGAGCTGAAACAGTGTTGGTGGGTAATTTGACGTGAAGAGCATCACAGTTGACCCCATTCTACATACACTTTCCAGAGGGGATAACTGCATAGTGAGCAGAAGTGGGATGCTCAGCTGAATTTTCCCTCCCTAGTCCAGTGGGATTAAGGCCAGATGTTCACTACAAACTGCTTGCCAGCTCCGATCAATTAAGTTAATTGGACAAAAATTGAAACTACAGCCTTCTTCTTTTGTATGACTTTAGTACATACAGCAGATGGTACACATAGACCAGCCACCGGAGAGCTTTGTTGTCAACAGCTTCACATTAGCTGGAATGTTCAACAAATGATTAACATTCAAGAGGATGCTAGACCTTCACACAAAGTAGTGGGGAATAAATAGAAAGATATGGGAAGGAATAAGGAGTGGGTGGAGACTAGTGTGAAGTATAAACACTCCACACTGGCTGTGCTGAGGGCCCCATTTCAGTGTTGTAGATGCTTTGTAAATCTTTGTTAATCACCCCCAACTCCTGTTCCTGCTCTTTTTCTAATGGGCGACTCTCCAGTGTGAACATTACTGTGTCCTATTCCAATCTGTATTACCCTTTTTAATGCCACTGCCCCATGATGTTAGTGAGTCCTAAAGACTATCAATAATCATGCCCACCGATTTCATTCCTTTTATATATCAAGCATCTCTTACCAAATTATGCATTCTACCCAACCATAATTTGGTGGGAGATGTGAAAGGAATTGGGATTGGTTGTAGACCACAACTAGTCAACTTACATGGATTCCTGCATCTCAGATTCTAACACTATTCTTTATGATTTCTCAAGAAGTATCCTTTTATCTCGAAATTTAGGTTTAAATCCATCAAGGTGGAATTAATCTCTTGACTGAGTTGTTTCATAGAATGATGGAACTTTTCAGCACAGAAGAAGGCCATTTGGCCCATCATGGTTTTGCTCTCACTACCTATTTAGTCTCCTCTGCATTTTCCCCACACTGGTTTCTATTTTTTTTCTTTTTCCAACTGTTTCTCTAAATCCCTTTTAAAAGCTATTATAATTTTCCTTCAACCACCATTTTGGACAGAACATTCCTGGTGACTCTTTTAAAACTCCTATATACTCTCCCATTTTATTGAATTTTAAATGTATGTCGTTTGTTGTCTCACCAATGGAAATAGTTATGTACAATGAACTCAGCCTCATACCAATTCATAGAAAGAGCAGATTCAGAGAACAACATTGACCATTATTCAACAAATTAGTACTAGGCCATCAATATCATGCAACAGAGCCACAAAAGAGCTCAGTTGGTTACACTCTGGGCAACAACAGTGTCGATTCAAACCCCATATCAAGACTCAAGAGTTTGTTTATTGGTTTTGGGGCCCTTTTTCAAGCAAAATGGAGGGAATTCTACTGTGTCAGACTCATGTCAGATCTGTCCAGAAATATTTTGATATTGATACCATTGTCCAAAGCAGAGAAAGTATTCCTTTTTTTGTACTGACTTTCTTCAGCTGAATGTCTAAGAATTCAAGAAAAGGTTCATCTCAATGGACCAATTCCAATTCTAGGAAATAACTGAAAAAAGTGCGTTGCTCCTCTGAAATTTTGCCCGTCTCTACCTTACCACTGTCACAGCCAAAACCCTCACCCAAGCCTCACTTTTCCAATGCCCTGATCATGGGCCTCCCCAATTCCTACCTCCACAAACTTAAAGACTGCCATGAATTCCACATCTTCTCCCACACCCATGTTCTTCAAGCCGATTACCAGCCAGCTCCACTCCATATCTCCTAATAGCATCTAGATTAACTTTAAGATGCTGAGTTTTGCCTTCAAGTGCCTCCAGAGTCTTGCCCTACTCCCTAACTCAAAAGTTTTCCTGGGTACCTATTCCCTCAACCATTCCCTCTCCTCTGCCAACTATGACCTGCTGTATACCTTCTATAGCTGTGAGTAGCTTTTCCAATGTTATGGGTGCTATAGAAGTGCAAATTGTTATTGTTGTACCTGGACATCGCCACCAACACCTCCAACCATTGGATCTTCCTCCAGGATCTTAACCATCTCCACGGTTGCAGCAGGGTCTAGCATTGTATCAGAATCACAAACCTGAGGAGAGCAGAACGAGCTGGTTAACTTCTTAAACAGAACGCTTTAACAAAGCACTGACTTTAAAACACTGTAAACTGCACCACCTTTATTCAGTAATCACAGAAGTATCTGAAACTACTTGTAGTATTATTAAACATTGGAGAATCAGATGAGCCGTATGTTATCTGTATTGAATTCATTAACAAATAAAATAAATTGCCATGTCCATTTTCTGAAATGCTGCAACTACCAATGCTGATTGGATAATCTCCTGAGTGAGCAAATTGTGATTTTTTTAACAAAAATAGAAGTGATCAGTAATATTCTGCTAATGGCTGTTTACCATTTTATTTGAAACACCCCTAAGACGTTATCCTACATGAAGGTCACTTTATAAATGCAAGCTGTTGTTATGATAAACAAAAGTTGTTGTTAATTAAGGCATAAAACACTTCTAGTCAATTCCTTTTAAAAATAATGGAAAGTTTTTTCAGGAAATGATTTCATCTAGTATATGGTAAAGATAGAGATAGACTTAGCTACCATATTCCCTGCGGTTGAACAGCTTGCCGATAGTCATTTTCTAGTCTCAATAACAACAACACAACAAAATTACATTTATAGAGCGCCTTTCACATCGGGAGGATGTCCCAAAGCGCTGAGCAGCCAGGTGTCGGGGTCCGAGCATGGGGGAGGGGTGGTGTAGGGGTGAGGGAAGGCAGAGAGGTGGGAGAGCGACCAAAAGCACGATCGAAGAGTCTCATTCTAGATTGGAAGATTGACAAGTCGAAGATGGAAGGGAACAATGAAAACTGAGATAAAATATTATCTAGAATTACTCAGTAATTTTTCAGACCCATATTAATTTTACATATGAAGACTTTCAGTGATAATTAAGCTTACCTCTATCATATATTCAAGCAAACATCTCTTCGTGCACATGTGAAGCACATAGTACAGTAAGTAAGTCTTACACTGGGGCTCATTAACGCCACAAAATTCTCACTAATGGGAAAACTTTTGGTTGCCTTTCACTCTGTATAAGTGGAATGAATAACCCCGCTGAAACCTGGCTTGTATGTTGGGATTCTAATGTGAGGGTTGATATAAATTAAATGGTGATTCAGTGAAAGGTAATTGGGCAAAATATGCTCCTGTTGTGTCCAGGACTTTTGCTTCTGGAACTGGTTTGGTTTTGGTCTGAAAATAATTATAACTCAATTACTGCTTAGTGAAGCATCCAATTTGACTTTTATATATAATGTATACACCCAGACATATAGAAGTTTTATCCATTCCAAAAAGCACCACATCACATATCACGCTTAGACTAATTTGTGAGACTGAGTGACGTAGTTACATCAAACATTTCGCTATTGCACACATCTCTGTTTTGATTCAGAACAAGACTGAGATGAGCTTAATTACAGTGCAACAAAATGAACGTTGTTGCTGCTGATGATAAAGGGATTTGACAACTGAAATGTGAAGAGTGATAGAGACCCAGTTCAGATCACACTTAATATTCCTCATGATCCGAGGAGAGGGTTCCTCTCTCCCCAAAGACCTGCTCACTTTCAAGCTGAAGGGTCCTGGGAGACCCTAGGATATAAGACGTCTCAAGAACAAAGAATGAAATGTATATGCACCCTGAGGGCCTCTGCGAGTGAATTTCTTTTATTTTAGCCTTGGAACAGTGCATTATCTTAAAATAAGGTTTACACACTGCAGCGAGCTGGTTAATCTAGAGAGTGGTTGCTCGGGATTCATTTTTAATCAGAATCAAGCTAAAGACTTATCTGGTAGTGGTTCAGTGGGAGCTTGCCAGACAGTGCTCTTAATGACAAACAATATTAATTTAGTAGTTAAACTCTAGTGGTATCCCAATGTATACTCTGGGGTACCCAAGCCATGGCTCTTGCCAACCTGTGCGTAATACTCTCCAGAATTAGGTAAGCAGGGTGCATCCCTCCAGAGAATGTGCATTCACAGGAACATTTCCACATGTAGGTTGAAATGTGGAACTCTTAGTCTGCTTTGGATACATTTTAACATGGTGATGGTTTTCCACATGTGTGAGTCCAAAATAAATCAGTTGACCAAAATAAAAAAAAATTCACAAAATTAAGATCAATTAAAAAACTGTACAAGACGGAACACGTTTCGTGATATGCATTTCTGGGCCAGTCATTGAATGAAGACTTCCTTCAAAATCCCTCCTCTTTGGAGGTGGATTCAAAATTCAGTTCAAGGAAAGTAGATAAAAATCTCTAGTAACCCAATGAGATTTAATAATGTGATCTGTAGTGGAGACACATCCTTGAACTGCCTTTTGAGTTTGATGTTGTGTTTACCAAGTTTGGATCAAGGACAAGAACATTAACTGGGTATTGTTTTGGGACTACTTTATAGATTACTTTACCAGGTTAATTAAAAGGAACTCCAGTCTACTGATTATCCTTCCCTCATGCCTCCAAATCGAGAGCTAATTGGATCATAAGGAACATGTGAAAAAGAAACCTTTGCAACACCTTTTGTATACACAGTTCACATCACCTCATTTCATGAGGTCAATTCATTTTAAAATATTTATCCAATGTTGCTAGTCATTCAAAGGCAGGGTAACATGTGCTGTGTTTACAAAATGCCAGAGTGAAGGACTCTTCTGTACACGAGGTCCAAGTGGTCTCCCTATTTGACTTGGAACTGTTCCAGAATGCTGGTGCTTACCTGCACGTAATCCACAGTGCAGCCCAGTGCTCTGAACGCAGTGTACATCACTTCTCGTTTCCCTCCCCATTTCTGCATGATGCAAACACTCTTATTTGCCCTGATCAGTGCCGTCACATGGTCCATGCTCTCTCTATGCAACTCATCAGTTTCACCCAGGCCCTTCTCGTGATAGTTACTCTTCCAGATGTAGGTAGCCGATCGATCCCTTCCCATGACTTCGCTAAATATGTCCATCATGTAAATATCCTCTTCCGCATTTCCATCTATAACCATGATGACATTCATCCCCGGGTAGGTCAGCCTTTTCACAGATTGCAAGCACTTCCGTAGGTAATGAGGGTCTTCCTGGTAGGCAGCGATGCATAGAGCAACTGACTTGTTCAGCTTTATGGGAGTTTCCAAAGATCGCTTCATTTTTCTGTGTTCCAAGAAAGCGAAGAGGCTTTGAATGATCAAATGCAAGACGAGGATGGCTCCATACATTCCAAAGGAGAAATAATAATTGTCTGTGGCTATGAACTGATAACCCACGATGTAAGCAGCTGCAATGCCCAGGAGAAGAGCCAAGCCGAACAGGGTGGTCCCCACTATCCTCAGGATGGAAGTCACATTTTTACAACGCATCTGCAACAATATAAGTCAAGGCATTTAGTTTCCAGTGGCAACTATAAAATACAATCAATGAGTAACTCTTTACTTGTCATACTAACAAGACGCGCGCACACACACACACGATTTCAACAGACATGTGTTTTATGCAAAATCCCTTTTGAAGGAAATCCTGTATTCATTCTAATAATGGTCTGCGAGTGTCTGATTGACTGTCTGCTCTCTTGGTCATGTTTCTATTTAGTCAATGTTATATTCACAAAGATACGAATCTCAAATACCATCACATGTTATTGAAACCAGAATATGCCCAGCACAGTTCGAGATCGCCCATGCTTTGACATACCTGAGCATATCTGGCCTTTGTCAGCTGGTAAATGGTAATGGATGAGACAGGAGATGGCCCTATAGAGTATTATTTTCTCCTTCAGTGTCAGTGAGCTGAATAGTGAAAGGTCAGAAACTGCAGTCTGAAGTTGTTGCATGTCTGGCTCGTGTATTTATTACACGTTGCTCCCTGCTAGTATGTTTGTTTTTCCATTTGTCTCTGTTTATGTTACTTTTAGGAGACAGTGCTCGTTCTGTTGATTCGTGTACACTGGATTTCCTGACAACGATTTATAATCAGACTCGCACAAATAGTGCCCAATAGAACCTTTCAAAAGTGGACATGTGAAACCTCACAAAGCTTCCTGACCAGTTCTATACTAATCCGACCAATGTCATTGAGGCCCTTTGGCCCATTTACAACTTAGCCGTGCATATAAAATGTTATAAAATGTGGTTGGGACAGTTGACAATTTACTCTCTCCCCCAAATCTTACATTTTCTGGCAGCGTAAAACTGTTTCACAACAACAACTTGGATTTATATAGCGCCCTCCACGCCGGACGGCGTCTCAGGGCGCTTTACTACCCCCACCCCCTCACAACACACACACACACACATTGGCTCTGGACTCAACTCATTATTCAACATAAGCTACAATTAGTCTTGGAACATTTTATATTTTGGGTTTTCCTCCCCCTCCTCCCATTGGATAGTTTACAGTTTCCAAAGACTTTTGTATTTGTTTCAATTAGGTCTTAAGTTAATTTTCAATGTCCCATCTGTTGACCAGAACCAATTCCAAATGCCGCCCTCTTACATCACTTATTGATAAATCTCAAGTCAGGGTTGTGAACAGAGGTATGTCACTGCTCCCGCCTGTTGCCATACAGAATGGGGTCCAATTTGTACACCAGCACGGTTTCCATTACCTAATACAGACAAGATTAGATCCAGGAACAATTAGAATACTGTTATTATCTATAATAGATGTGCTGAAAGCCAGTGGGTTTGGAAATAATGGCTCATAAAAAAAATGTAAAACACCAAGTATGGTTCTTTAATAAATAACAGGATCGTTACAAGTAAAATACAATCTGTTGCTATTATCTTAAAAGGGTGTTTAATGTCATAATTTTGAACATAGGTCAAAAATCCAGAAACAGCGATAGTAATACTTATTACCATAATCGTTTACCATAAATAATAATCTTTGCATTTGCTTTAGCACCACTCGCGTCAGACGGAGGGCTCCATGCACTTCACGTGATGTACTGTGATGTGTAGTGACTGTGTAACGTTTGTTGCTGTGGGTGTGTGAGTGTGTGTGCAGAGCAAAGTCCCAGGCTGACCACAGAGGCAGGCGATTACACGTGCCCTGGCCTTCCTTCCTTTTGAAATGAAGTTACAAAAGGAAATGAAAACAGACAGCAGAATAAAACACTGCCAATAGGTGGTAACATCAGTGGCTGAGGGTCAGAGCTGCTCCGCACCGTTTGTTCAGTGGAGCAGCTCATTCTTTCCTACATCATTTGTCTTTTATTGGTCTTAAGAGAAATCATCCTTGTGCCATCAGCTCCCTCCCTACATCAGAGCCGCTGGGAGAAGCGTGACTCAATATGCCTTACTAATGCGGAGAACTGCGTAAAAACAAGTTATGTTAACGAATACATCTCTAAAAGGAATTCTTCATTGCCAAAGTACAGGCCAAACCCTTTCACTTGCTGAAGGCACAGCCATGAGCCTGTCAACGCCTGACCACGACACGAACCATCACGGCGTTAGAAGAACGAACAGGAAAGTTGAAGCTCAACGAGATACAGATTTCAATGTTTTCAGTGACGAGCATTGTACAACCGCGCTGTTTAATTCAAGCTTTAAGGGCAGGCTGTGCGGTGCGGTTTAGCCCTCATTGCTTTGATGCAGCCGGATGCAAAATCGTCCTTGAATAACCGAGACCTGGTGGGTCATGAAGGTAAATGGCAACTGTTTCAGAGTGCAGTGTGCAATATCCTCTGGTTAAACATTTGTTTCCAGTTTGCAATACCACCTAGAACACTACGTGGGGTTATTTGAGGTGGACGCCACTCCTTTTGGCTATTTTCCCTCCTCCCCAAATAACGTTTGCCAAACATTTATTTCATGAAGTCGGCGCCCCTTGGACCGTTTCTACAATCACATCTATAACCACGATGACCTATTGACAAAACTCACGTTAAAACCTCCATACATCAGGCGCACATTGGTGCCAGTCAATGAATTGGAGCAACATGAAACAAATCCCTAGCACAATAAAAGCAACCCTTTCTTCGCTACAGACAGATAGGAGTTTCAATTCTGCAATCGGTGCTGTAATAGGGGCCATTGTTTGTGATTAGTTTTGAAAACAATATTTATGTTCCTTTTTAAATGCCTGAGGAGGTTGGAAACGTTTCTGTTTGCCATGGATGAGGAGAGGGACAAGAGAATAGTATTTGCCCTCACACAACGAAGCTGAAGATTGATAATAAAGGGTTTGTAATTGTGTTTGGTTACAGCAGGTTATCGCTTTCCGCCTGACTCTAAATTGCCCCGCTGAAAGCCAGCCAAGTCCTTTTAATATTGTTCAAATCAAGTTACACAGGTAATCACAGCCATCTGGAAACACCAACCCCGCTCTTTAAACTTAACGCTCCCACCGCACAGATGGGAGGGGTTTAAGGGTTACATCTGGAACTGATTTACTGAACTAACGGAGCAACTATATGGGAAGACGCTGCAACTTGCATGTTAACTATCATTTTAAACAATAAAAAATAAAATCTACAACCTATAAATGCCAAATATTGCCTCCAGATATGAGGCAGGGATTGAATATGTGTGAATGACATGTCAATGACATGTAACGTTTTAGTGTCCTCGTCATTCAGTTTGCTCCTCTGACCCTAATCTGAATACTGTCTGCAGAACTTCCTTATACTGTATATCCACCACTGTTTGTGGGACACTGTTGTGTGCAATTGGCTGCCCCATTTCGCTCACAAATATACAGTCAATTCACTTTACAGTCTATTCTGTGAAGCGCTTTGAGACGTCTAGAAGACGTGAAAAGCACTATATCAAATGCAAGAATTATTATTATTATCAGCCTATTTATATAAATATGTATTCCAACTTCAAACTTATTAAAACTAATCTTGAAATCCCAGCGCAAACGTACTATCAATCATAACGTACAATATTAGGCATCTTTTTGCACTGTATATAAATCAATGATTGTTCTCAAGTTAATTACACCATATTGGGTGCACCGCCTTTTCCTGTTGGGTAACCAGTAGGTGAAGCTCAAGTGTGTTTCTTTAAAGCTACTGATGTCGACTTCAATGGCCGTAAAGAGAAGATTCAAAATCAGATCTAGATTTCCATTAAGATCTTAAAAAGCTTCGACACAAAAGCCTTTGTTCTCTTAAAAGTACCTTGAAATGCAAATACTGTATCTATCTTATCTGTGTGTTCAACTGAGTTTCTTTTTGAAAGACATTGCGCCCGACTTTTGTCAATGCCTTGAAACATTTACCGTGAAGGCCAAAAATGAATTAGTTAGGCCCCTGGATGTCTGTCAATTTGCAAGGTTGGCAAAGTGGCTCGAGTAACGTTTTAATCGAAACGATTCAAGGTATGCCAAAAGAAGATCAAAAATGCGTCAAAACTTTTAAATGAAGCCTCCCGTCTTATTAATGCGTTTAATTAAAGTTTATATAAAAATATATATATATATATATATAACAGCTTTCCATAAAGCAAGCCCCAAGCGTCTGCACGTACATCAGTCCCGTGACAGACGAATGCATCGCAGGGGAGAGTGCTGGGGGTCTATTAACCCATCATACATGATGACAAGGACTCTGATTAAGTAATAAGTAATCCCTGCACTGTGTGTGTGTGTGTGTGTGTGCGCACACGCATTCCGAGTTAATTCAGCGGCTTCCTGTTCAGTGCAGAGGGAGATGTCCCACTCAGAGCCATCAGACGATCAGAGGAGGGGGTGGGGGGTGGGGGTGGGGTGGGGGTGGGTGGGGGTGTGATTAGAAAGCGAGCAGCCCTGAGCCCCCCCTCTCTCCCTCTCTGGCTGTGTGCGCGCGGCACTCCCCCCCCCCCCCCTGTCCCGAGGGGAATCCCCGCCACCCGACAGACAGCCAATCAGAGCCCGGAGCGCTGCTGGGCGTGACGTACATGGGAGTGTGACACTCGGGTGTTCCCCACCGCCGCCACGAGGTTTCACTACAATAGGAACCGGACTCCATCACCTCTACAGCCACACACTCCCCCTCTCCCTCTCTCCCCCTCTCCCCCCCTCCATCCCTCCATCTCCCTCTCCCTCCCTCCATCTCTCTCCCTCTCCCCCCCCTCCATCTCTCCCTCTCCCCCACCCCCATCTCTCCCTCCCCCTCTCCCCTCCATCTCTCTCTCCCCCTCTCCCCTCCATCTCCCTCCCCTCCATCTCTCTCCCTCTCCCCCCCCCTCCATCTCTCCTCTCCCCCCCCTCCATCTCTCCTCCCCCCCCCCTCCATCTCTCCCTCTCCCTCCCCTCCATCTCTCCCTCTCCCTCCCCCCTCCATCTCCCTCTCCCCCCCTCCATCTCTCTCCCTCTCCCCCCCCCCCCTCATCTCTCTCCTCTTCCCCCCCCCATCTCTCTCTCCTTCCCCCCTCCCCCCCCCCCCTCCATCTCTCTCTCCCTCTCTCCTCTCCCTCCCCGGGCACTGAGCAATCACCCACAGCTCAACAATCCTCTCAAACTGCACCCTTTTCCTTTTCCTTTTTTCTTCCTTCTTTTTTTCTTGCATATGCACGCGTGCATTTTTTTTAAAACACACCGAGCGAGGCTGCAGACCTTAACAGAGCGAGGCGAGAGGCTTTGATCTTTTTGTCGCGAAAAAAAAGAAAGAAAAAAAAATAAAAATAAATAATTCACATCTTAAAAAAAAATCCGAACCAAAAAAAAAACCCCCATTTCAAACGGCCAATAATCCATCCTCACAATTTTTGCGTGACTTCCCATTTAATTAAAAAAGAGGCGTCTTGTCCCCCCCCCACCCCACCCCAACCCCCCATCCTCCACCTTCCACCCTCCATCCCTCCAGACGATCTGGAAAACGAAAGGTCTCGAAATGCTAAAGGATCACCCAAAAAAAAATAAAAAGCATTGGGTTTTACTGGGCATCGCAGAACAAGGGAGGAGAGGTGGTTTATTTGGGTGCAGTGTATTTCAGGTCATGGGTGCCGCATGGTGCTGTGTTTGTAGCTGTGCCCCCCCCCCCCCACCCCCCAACCTCCAGCTCCACACCCCCCCTCCACCTCCAGCTCCACATCCCCCCCCTCACCCTCCAACCTCCAGCTCCACACACACCCCCTCACCCCCAACCTCCAGCTCCACTCCCCCCCCACCCCCAACCTCCAGCTCCACCCCCCCCCTCACCCCCCAACCTCCAGCTCCACTCCCCCCCACCTCCACCCCCCAACCTCCAGCTCCACTCCCCCCCACCTCCACCCCCCAACCTCCAGCTCCACTCCCCCCCCCTCAACCCCCAACCTCCAGCTCCACTCCCCCCCAACCTCCACCCCCCAACCTCCAGCTCCACACCCCCCCCCTCAACCCCCAACCTCCAGCTCCACACAACCCCCCTCACCCCCAACCTCCAGCTCCACTCCCCCCCCTCCACTCCCCCCCACCTCCACTCCCCCCCCACCTCCACCTCCACTCCCCCCCACCACCTCCACTCCCCCTCCACCTCCACTCCCCCTCCAGCTCCACTCCCCCCCCACACCTCCACGCCCCCCCCACACCTCCACGCCCCTCCCCCCACCTCCAGCTCCACTGCCCCCACCTCCAGCTCCACTCCCCCCCACCTCCAGCTCCACTCCCCCCCCACCTCCAGCTCCACTCCCCCCCCACCTCCAGCTCCACTCCCCCCCACCTCCAGCTCCACTCCCCCCCCACCTCCAGCTCCACTCCCCCCCCACCTCCAGCTCCACGCCCCCCCCCACACCTCCACTCCCCCCCCCCACCTCCAGCTCCACTGCCCCCCACCTCCAGCTCCACTCCCCCCCACCTCCACCTCCACTCCCCCCACACCTCCACCTCCACTCCCCCCCACACCTCCAGCTCCACTCCCCCCCCCTCACCCCCAACCTCCAGCTCCACTCCCCCCCCCCCACCTCCAGCTCCACTCCCCCCCCCTCACCCCCCAACCTCCACCTCCACTCCCCCCCCACACACCTCCACTCCCCCCCCCACACCTCCACCTCCACTCCCCCCCCCCCCCCCCCCCACCTCCAGCTCCACTCCAAAGAGCATTCGCAATGTTTTCAGGTAACGAGTTCCGTTTGGACAACGCGCAGATTACAATCGGGCGATCAGATCAGAACATCCCCTGTTTCTTTATTGCCTCGTTTCTTTTTCTGGGGGCAAAAAAAAAATTTTTTTTTTTGAGATTATTTTGAAGATTATTTCCCTCCTTCCCCTTTGCGGGACGAGACGAGAGACGAGAGACGGAGCAGCAACAAAAGACGGGCGTTTGGAAATTGCATCTGGAATTTCACGCACACGGACCGCTGCGTTCAGGGCAGATCGGAGGGGGACCTTTGCTCTCGATTTAATGGAATTGCTTTCTTCCCAATTTGTCAGTGGTTTAATATCTGTCATTACGTCCCACAAATTAACGATATGGATATCATAAACTCAAAAAAAAACACACACACACACACACACACACACACAAGACATCAGAATCACAACCAAAGCAAAAGCACAACACGTTGATGAACGAACGGTAGGACGTACCTTGACAACTCTTTGCTGTTGGGGAGATGGACCTTTTCCAGCGCTCTCCTGTCCTGTTGGAGCTCAGTTGTCCTCTGCGTGTGGTCTGTGGTCCGTTTTGCTCTCTCTCTCTCTCTCTTTCTCTCTCTCTCTTTCTCTCCCTCTTTCTCTCAACTCTCTTTTCAAGTCTAAAAGGATAAAGTCAGTGCTTCATCGCGTGTGCGACATACACTGCAATCGCAGCTCTGCTCTGCGAGGCTCAAACTGACCAGAAACCTGCTCCAAAATTTCTTTTGAAACAATTTTTTTTCCTGCTCTGTTCAATTCTTCAGCTCCAATGCAACTCTGCTTTTGGGGACAGAGGGGAGAAGGGATTCTGGTTGTACTTTTAAAGTTAAATATTTTTTTTTGCAAAAAAAAGAGTTTTCCAACTGTTTGATTAATGTCAGCGTTGGAGCTTCAGTGCTGAGCACCTGGTTACCTCCCAATAAATAAATCTTAAATAGGTTTTCTTTTCAAAAGATGATCCATTCGCATTTAGTTTTTTCCCCCCCCACCTAGTTATGCAAGTAAAAATCTAAATCTATACCCTGTAAAGCAGGCACCAGGGTTGCAGTAACCCCGGGGTCCAGCAAATCCACAGCTCATAAGATTTCTTAACACAGATCCGTGTGCAATTCCTATCAGACGCCAAACTTTTTTTTCTTTCCCCCCCCCTTTCCCCTCCTTGTGTGTTGACTTTTTCTAAACCAAGTACAGCCCAAAGGAAGTTTCGCGGACTTTTATAACAACGCCAACTTTTTGTTAATGAATGGGGTGGAGGGGGTGGAGGGGTGGGGTAGGGGGGGGGTGGCAGAGGGGAGGGAATGTCTGAACCCGCCCATGGATGCAAACTGAGCTGTAAACCGTTTTGCTGGAGATCCGATGATCACAGGAGCTGAATATCCAACATCCTCCTTTCTCCCCGACTCACATTTTATTCCAGAATACACGTGCATTTGACTCTCAACCCCTGTGACTGCATTTTAATCCTCACTCACTCGCGTGTTGCTGAATGAAATCGCCTTATTATTTGAGATCAGATGCCCGGGGAAGGTAGTGCATAAAGTTGCAGCAATTGCCTACCAGTAAGACACAATTTCCACCCTCCCCTCCCACCCAAAAAAAAACTTTTATTTTTAAAAATAAAACAGTGTGAGTGAGTGAGTGAGTGAGTAAATTCAATTGATGACTGCAGCGGATCTCCCTCTTACACACACACGGGAACACTGTTGCACAGAGTTTGCATGGTCTGGTGGGATGGTTTATTGCTGTGGGTGTAACTTTGCTTCGTTTCACTCGGATGTGCTGGACCGAGCAATTCTATATAAAGATAGGATCGGGGTGCAGGGCTGACTGCAACAGTTTCACCCCCCAAACCCCTTCCCTCTGCCCTCTTCAGCTAACGAGCGAGAAATCCCGCATCGTGGTCCTGTACCTGTTCACTACCAGTAGTGATCAGCAGAGGGCGCCGCCGGCGCGGTTTGCAGCTCGAACTGCGCACAAAAGGGTGGGAGGAAGCGGCGCTCAGCAAAGGACTCACCCGCCCATTCACCCCAATCCCACACCCACTCCTTCCCCAGGAACATTTCAAAGGAATCATGTTAACAATTTAATGCAGATCGTCGGCGCATTAAATAAAACACGTCAACCAATTGGCAGATTTCGGTGCATTTTATAATAATAATAATAATAATCCTTGCATTTGATATAGCGCTTTTCACGTCGGGAGGACGTCCCAAAGCGCTTCACAGAACACACTGTAAAGTGAATTGACTGTATATTTGTGGGCGAACGCGGCAGCCAATTGCGCACAGCAATGTCCCACAAACAGTCGTAGATTGAAAATGCTCAATTTATTATTGTTTTTGGTTTTGGAGGGATTATTATTAGGCTCTGTGTGGAGTAAGGAAACTTGCCCAAGGTTTCGCCCTCTGCCTGGAATTGAACCAGGTCTCTCACTTGCAAAGCGAGTGCTCTAACCACTGAGCTACAGGGCTCCATTTTACCCACCTATTAATCAATCAATCAATCACATCTGCTCTGTGAGTCCCAGCCATGGCTTACGTGAGTGAGGCTGGACAGGAGCCTGAGTCTCTGCTCAGACTTGATCAAGACAGGAGTGAATGAGAGAGAGAGAGCTTGTGTGTAAGGGATGAGGTGAGCAGAACTCAAAGGGATCTTTGTACAATACTTTTGGGGCTGGGGAAGCTCTCTGTCAGCAGACCGACTACAAATTTGATCCAACTAAACTACCACAAGAGACTTATATATCTTTATGATATCTCATTCAACTTTCAATGTTTTGCGAAAGGGTTTCTCCCACACCTCGGCAAATGCAGCCAGCCAGCTGCTCAAAATGATTTGGGATTTGAAAAGTAGCAATAATTAATATTCCCACAGCACTTTTACATATCACAGTGTCCGGGTATCTGTAATACATCTTATTCTAAACACATCAAATCAAAACCCTTAAACATTGCCCACCAAAATAGAGCTTCTAGTGTGAATGAATGAAATGGACTATAAAGTAGTCACTACACCCCCTTTGCAAGGGGAGGTCATATAAGGAATTTTAATTCAGAATATTAATAACGCAAAGGAAATGTATAAAGTGTTAATGGGTGGGGGGTGGTCCTGTAGTGTACTGAATTTTTAAAAAAGATTGTTTATGTCTAATCTACTTGGACCCCACTTGGTAATCCTCCTATTTCAGGGTTGGGCATTAACAAAACGATAAATTAGAATAAATCTGATGACATGACAAGGCACTATATCAAATGCAATGATTATTATTACTGTTCCACAGCACCAAGAGTCTTGCTATCAGGACCGTTTTAAAATTATATCAAAGAGTTATAAATAATTAGATAAACATAATTTTGTTTCATCTCTCTTTAGCCTTCCAACTACCACCCACACGTTGCAGTCTCTCGGTCTCTAATTAAACTAATTATACAAGATCTTGGTACTATTCATATACAAGATGTGTTTTAATATGAACAAAATGAGCATTCTCATTGTAAATCCTCATAGGAAATAATATCTCCTTAGGGTTCTGTCATAAATCTGATGTGATTTTTTCTAACTTGCCTCCACCCTCCTCTGAGAATCAAGGTCTTATGAATGATTGTTATAATGTATAAGCAGTCTCTCACCTCCCCCTTCACCATGGCACATTTAGTGTATAATCAAATTGTCATAATTTCTGCTCTATTTCAATTGCTTTCTTGCTAATTTTCACCTCGTCTCCTCTGATGTAGGAATTTATTCTTATTGGGTACAAGTCTGACTGTTAAAGATCCCATGGCATTATTCAAAAAGAACAGGGAGTTTCTCATGGTCTTCTGGCCAACAATTCTCCAAATAAAATTGGTCACTCACTCCATGGTTGTTTGTGGGACATTGGCTGCCATTTCTGCCCACAAACTACACCACTTTACAGTGTATTCTGTGAAGCTCTTGGATACATCTTAACAACATGATAAAGTGATTTATCAAATGCAAGGATTGTTATTATTATTATTATTATCACAGTTCCACAGCACCAACTCCCCTTGTTGCCCAAGCGATTATCCTATATGTATGATCATAGACAGTTAATGCTATTTGACTATGGAATATATAATAGAATGGATCCTGCCATCACTCAATTTCCATGGATTTACCCACTTTGCAGAAAAGTTTAATTTCCAGTATTTTATGGGATTCCTGAATCAAAATCACATGGGTCTTTCTCAGGTAATCAAAATTAAAATGACCTCCTCATGATGTGAAAGTCACTATTCCAAATGCAATCAACAATAATTGCATGTGGTATCGTTCCTTTGAGGAGTCTCATTGAGGAGGTCTCACAGTGCCTCACAGGATCTACTGTAAACTGTAGTGGCTATGTATTTTGTAGGTGAACACATCAGCCAATGCGCCACAGCAATGCCCCACAAACAGCCATGAAGTAAATGCCAAAGTACATCACCTAACTTCTCCAAAACAATTCAATTCCTGAAACAAAGGTACTGCTGGTCAACAACAATGACTTGCAATTATATAGTGCCCTTCATGCAGGATGGCATCCCGGAACACTGTTCAGTGGCGGGACTTAAGGATAGAAAAAGAGGGGCTGAGATAGGGAGTTCCAGAGGTTGGGGGCTGATAGAGAGGCTGATGGCACAGCCACCGATGGTAGCATGGAGGGGCTGAGGGACCCACAGAAGGCCTGTGCCAACTGAGACAAGAGGACAGGCACGCCCACAGGAATTTTAATGGGATTCCTTGTTACGAAATGCCACACTTAAAAAGTGAATTAGACCACACTTAAAAAGAATAGCAGATCAGTAGCTTTGAAATTCAGACTGAATTTAAGAATTTTCTAAAATTCTATAGCAGCTTAAATTTTAAAACAATGCAAATACCAGCTCACCAGACAAGATCTCCCCGATTAGTCTGGGCGTGGGTTTCAGTGTGTTTGGTAACATGTTTGGTAACATGTTTGGTTCCGGTGTGATTGGGGCAGAGCTCTTTCTGGGGTTGAGAATCATCTCAAAAACGTTCAGATTTATTATATTGTGACCTGGCCTCTTTGCTAGGTACTGTATAACTTGAACAAAAGGCAACGAGCAAAGTGAAGAGCAACTCTGTGGCTAGACTGCCTGCCAAATATTGTTAGCCTTAGTGGTTACAGTTGGTGTCAGTCGTGCCAGATTACCATTTTTTTTCAGAAATACAGCATTGTTCCCCTTGCACTGTGGGATACCACATGCAGCTGTGATTATTTATCAATAAAAGACCCATCCAAAATAAATAGCTTTCAAACCCAGTGTGGCCAGGACCAGCTCAGAGTTTTTAGCCAGTAGAAGAAATCAAAACTAGCATGAGCACATCGACTTCAGAAGTGTATGATAAAACACTGGAAACCACTGCTCAGAATAACAGCCAATTGGTCAGATTAATGACAAAATTAATCTATGAATGTAACTTTGAGATACACTGACATGAACAAATTACCTATTTCTCTTCTGTGAAACATTAGGGTAAAAAATCATCATGGTTCACTGTCTATCTATGAATAAGTAAATATGCCATTGATGTTCTGTCTGTGCTTTTCAGTTAGAAACTACCTACTACAGCGCTGTGTAAAAAAACTCTTTAAAGTAACAATTTGTGACGTTCAGTTGAAAGTAAAATCGATTTAAAAGCAGCTCGGGGCAGATTTTGTGAGAGAAGGGAACAAACAGTGACTACGTGACTGCTGACATATATACCAGTTTTATAGATGTTTTATCACCTACTTTCTTCTTTGATATGCCATTCGCAGTTTCCTTTACAGATTCATTATTTGGCATTTAACAGTCATATCGACAAATACATCAAGCCGCTTATATGTCGACAGTTGAATTAGGTAGGTGTTTAGGATCACTACCCCAAATAACAATTTACACAGAAAGTAGATCAAGGCTGTGTTTGAAATTTTTATATGAAATGTTATATAGATGTTCTACCTTTAAAAAAAGGAATGAGACATTTGGGAATCTCTAATAAATAATTACTGGTAACTACACACACAAGTATGTACAATATCCATTACCACTCATGTTGGTCTGGCTCAGTGGTAGCGCTCTTGCCTGTGAGTCAGGTTGCAGGTTCAAGCCCTAAGGCTCGACTTCAACATAGGATGACATTCCAATGCAGTG